GGATGTGATTTAGTGGCGGTGCCATGCTCTTTTCTTATATAGGATCCCTGTGAAAAGGATGTCAGCGAATGAAAATTGGATAGAAATGCATCGCCTCACCTTCGACATGCCATATGTCGCCTGAGTACTTTGGGTTCTCCGGCGTCAGTACGATGCTAGCGATCTTGACGATGACTTGAATGGTCGAGTTCGCGAGTCCAACGGAATCAACCATGTTGTCTTCCCATGTATCTTTGTATTTCAGCGGGGCATCTGGGAGAACTAGCTGTCCAGCGACAAGGCGGCGGTGCACCCACGCCTCAGTGTCCATCATTAGAAGCTTCACCGCTCCCAATGCACGGGACGGCATCATCATCCCATTCGGCTGGAGATACGAGTTCTACCCATGAAGGAACCGGCTAGTTGCGCAGGGGGTAAGGACCTTCTCCCACAGCAGCACAGCGCGCTACATCACACGTTCAATAACCGGAACAAGCGCGCCATGGTGCTCCTGCGATGCGTTGTTGATATACGGCGATTTGAGTTTTACTTCGCCGTTTTTGTCGACTTGAAAATCCGACGCAAGCCACTGGAGAGCACGCACTGGCCGGTGGTCGTGTTCGTCGTCGTAAGCGTGCGGTCCGCGGAGATGGTGTACAGGTGCGGCGAGCAGGGACCACTGCAGGTCTGTGATCGGCGGTGCCGCAAGGGAGGAGAGCAGCGCGTAGTTCGTGTGCGGGGGCATACATGAGCTACAGGGCTGCAAGCGATTCAGTCAGGCCGGCGTAAAAAATGCCGGAGAACGCGACGTACAGATAGACCGGTCCGCGCTGCATTCGGCGATATTCTGCCCGTCGAGTCGAACCGACAGCTCAGGATCTCGCCCTGCGCCAATACTGTATGGTAGCAACCGTAACGCGTAACGCGGGGCCAAAAAGTTGCTTAAAATTTGCAGAGTAACGCGTAATGGAGGGTCGGTTGCTATCATAAATGTGGAATAAAATATTCATTTTTGGCCTTGTAAACGGTGCAAAAGAATCCCCCAAAAATTGCCGCTGCTAACTGTCAATCTGCGGTTGTCTGTCCGACCAAATGCCCTTCAGTCCAAGGTGTACCGTTGTCGCTGTATGCCCATATGTTCTCAGGATCCCCGCCGCTATGGAGCATGCCCTCATTCCCCTCCACTACGGTATCGGCAGCCACACAAAAGGCTTCCGTTCCTGGGAGAACTGAATGGGGGATATCTAAACCGAGCGAGTCTTTGACCACACGCTCCAATGGGACGTCGGTATCATCAGCAGGCTCGACCAAGAGATCTTCGTCCGGATCAATTGCTGCTACTGCCTCCGCCTCGATTTGGAATACGCCGAGCTTCTTTTCGGTTCTCAGCAGCACGGAGTTTCGCTTGCTTCTCCCGCTCCGCTGCCGCCGCCATCTTGTCCCTCGCTTCCTCTGCATGCTTTTTCCGCTGTGCAGCGGCCTCCTCAACACTCATCTTCTTACAGCCAAGTTGGAACAAGGTCTGCTGTTTGAGCGCCGGTGCCGCTGGCACGGAATCAGTATTCTTCGCAGCGGCATGAGGGGGAGGGGCCGGGGAAGAAGTGTCGGCATCATCTTCCCGAGTTAAATCAATCGTGGAACGCTGTTTCTGGAGTTTCTTGGGCGGGGGAGCGCGTGCAGAGTCTCCTTCTTCTTCAGAGTCGACTTCAATTGTCCTGAACGGCATGGCAAGTAAGGCTCTAGAGTGCTATGTCATATGGAGCAAACATACCGCTTTTTAGGAATCTTGGCCCCCGAGTCTATTGCAGCCTGTGTGAGCCGCTCAACCCAGCGGAGTTGGTGGCCGCGCGCATCTGGTAAGGACTGCGACTTAACCACGGACTTAAAAAAACTTTTCAAGGCTAGAACACGTTGTCCGTGCTCGGTGAACAAGAGTTTGCCGCCCCGAAGTTTGTGAGTTTCGAAACAGATTTCTAGGTTCCGATTGAAGGCATACATCATTCCCTCCGACTTCACATCATCGGGATCGAGTTGAAAATGAGATTCTGAGCCAGAAGCGGGCGGATTTAGAGGAAGTGAGTTAGGTAGGTGTTTCATCAGATTTGCAAGGTGATTCATCTGTGTGTTTAGGTCGCAAGGAATCCCGACTGGAGCCCGGGGCCCTTGAGCTTTGGTGCCATGGGTATGGGAATGGGAGTGGAAAGTAGTAATATGGATCCGCGGCCGCGCCGGGTGCTCGCTTCGAAGACAGAGCTTCAGGTACAGATCGTGAAGAAAACACTATCACATTTTAGGGCGTGCATCGTCCAGTGCGTGCCGAGCCCATATGGCACGTGATCCCATTGTGGTGGCACAGGGTAGCACTCGAAAACACTCATTTCAAGTCCTATGGGGGCCAAACTCAGGATAATCCAAGCAGCATGGTAGAAGAATCATAATCTCAAGTCATAATCTCAAGTTGTTGCATGATAGATACAACTTTGAGTGTTTGAGGCAAGGGGCTTTGAATCTGAGAATTTTTGACCACCCGTTGAATTCTGAAGCAGTTTTACGGCCTGAGTCCAAAAATGACACTCCCAATGTCACAGGCTAAGTTTTCGTTGAGTTAGAGGGGAATACATTATTGCTGAACCTTTAGGTTTGGCTACCCAGGGGAACATCGATTTTGTCCATCAGTTTTGATCGGTTAGTCATGCACAATTGGTCATCGCAGGAAAAAACATCGATAGCGGAGCTAATGAGAAATAATAAGCAATCAGAATGTGAGTAGATTTTTGCGACCTTGCTGCTTCGATTCCCGAGTTCTAGCTTGTTGCAACGACGGAAGGCACAGCAAATCTGTGAAGTTCAATTTCGTTCATTAGTCATTTCTGCTTGATGTTCGGGCTATTATCTGTTGACGTGAGAATTTACTCACGACTTGCTCACGACGGGTCAACGCACGCGCCAGGGTGGCACATGGACTTCCTCAGCGCCGCGTTTTGAGACCCCAATGAATAAATGATGCCAAGGACCATCACAATCCGGGGCGCAGAGGCTACATAAATTATTCAGAGCGATTGAAGGGGTTTTATGCTTTTAATTTTGGTTTTACAGCTCTTCAATACATCTGATTTGACCTCCCGTCCCATCCCTCGTGACAGATCCCAGAAATTTAAACATGTACTCATTTCCACACAGACTCCTCAGTATTGGCTTTGATTTCGTGTGTGGTTCAGGCGAGGTTGAGGCTGCCGGAATGTTCAATTTCTGTGCCAAAACAGAGCGGATTCATTTGAACCAACCCATAACCTTCATTCTGGAGTACCAACAAGTCTTGCGGAAGTTTCAACTGAATTTCCCGAAATTCCGGGTGGCTGTCACATTAAACGAAGCTTAAAGGCCGGGATTAAGCTCAAAAATGGCCCACGCATATGCTGTATTACTCGCCTTTCACCTGGAAAAGCACCAGGGATTGAATTTTTCTGATTGAATCCCCGATCATATATTTAATGCTTGGCTATTTCTGTACCTGCCCGCACCTTCTTTCCTTACTGCATTGGGCCTGAATATCCTTCTTGTATCTTGTACATAGTAACACAGTATAATGTATGTTGATGACCACCATCTTGGCAGTCAACCATCGGAGTGCAGACACATTTCATATCCACCTAAAGGTTCAGCATCCGCCTCGGAGAGGCCTAATCCATGTCATTACTGGATTTGGGTATTGATGGGCGTACAGCCACGTAAAATATCACGTGCATGGCTGGGCCGCCAAATGCAGATTGGTTTGAGGCCATTCTTTGAATTCCGACTCGGATGTTCTCGGGATCCGGGCAGAATTTGTTCGTGTTTGCAGACAGGTCGAGCCCTTTAGCGAAGAATTGCGAGCGAATTCTGCACGTACAGTGTCTATTTACAACCTATGGACAATGAAAAATTGTTATGCCACCCACCCAAGTTGCCTAAATTGGCATGTGTAACACCTAACACGGCTCCAGACTCTTGTAAATTTAGAAAAGAAGCTCCTTCTTGTCACTGGACAGGGACTGCTGAAAGTTCATCTTTCAGCAGTCCTTTCATAGCTAGCTACAATCCATAAATCTATCGGTTTCAAAACAGCCGCTGATTGCCGCTACTCCCATTGTAGTCTTAAATCAATATATTAAATTTCCACAATTTTTTGTTTGTCTCCTGATTTATCTACTCTCAGCTAGCTTCTTGACATATGTTAAGATTTTGCTTCATCCGGTGTGGGTTGCTACCATACATGCTGGCCCAGTACCTCAGATATAGGGCCACAAAAAGCGCAGCTCACTCACTGAATAGACAGGATGTGCAAAGCCGCACAGAGCCGCATGCGGCTTTTGTGCATTGTGCAAAGCCGCGTGATAAACCAAAGGATTTATGAGCGGATCCTTGGTCATTCCAATGAAATCTGAGTAAATTAGGTGCTATGCAGTACACTGAACCACTTACCTAATGTAAGGTGCACCACTTTCACATCGTTATTTGGTTTCACCACAGCCGCTGTGCGGCTATGGCCGCAATTCTGCCCAAACAGGGCATTTTTTAACCATTTTCCACACTTCCTCCTTCCACCTGGAGCCGGAGTCAACACCAACAGCTTCAAAGCACTCTATGCAAGGTTTATATACTTAATGGATAGGGAATCAAAAGCCACACGGTGCCGCATGTGGCTCTGCACATGCACGAAAGCCGAATGCGGCTTTGCACATCCTGTCTAATGCACGCCCGCGAGGCTGATGACGGGCGCATCGAGGTTGCTCGTCGCTGCACCGTCCGGATCAGCCCTTTGCTCTTGTCCGCCCCCGACGAGATGGCAATCTGGTTCGCCGGCGGCGGCGTCCCCTTGGCCCGCTCGATCACCGCACCAGACGCAGAAGGAGAGCTTGGCCGTTTGGCATTTTTAGAGGACCCTGCGGAGCATGCGAGACTGCGTGCCGTGGGCCCGTGGTGTTGAACTACCAGATGCCACGGCTACAGACGCTATTCGAGCTGGGGTACTTGGGTACATGGACCCAGTGGCGAAGTGGTATCGCATCCGCTTCCTTTTCATCGAGAAGGCTTACATTCGTTTCCGCGGGAGACACCCGTTCGAGTCGGGTCTGGGTGATGGACTGAAGGGAGTTTCTCTCTTTTTCTTTTTTTCCCTTACTACCTTGGGCGGCTCACACCTTTTATGGGCTGGCTGTCTTTATTTTGTCTTGGAGACATTCCGCCTTCACTTTTGTCTAACGTTAAAATCGTTCCTCGCCCTAATGCATTTTTGGAGGACCTGGACCAGCCTGGGGAACAGTAGATCATCAAAAAATGTTAATCCAATGCCTTAATGGTTTGTTACACGGCCGCGATTTTTGGAGGGCGGCCGAAACGTGAAAACTGGTGGTTAGAAGTTGAATCGTCTCCGTCCCAATGCCTCATCGTGCCTGCGAAAGGCTGAAATGGAGCCACCAACTGAAATGAATTACAAGGATTATGTGAAGTATTAGTATTCCGCGGTTCCTGAAAATATCGGCTCTAGACCATTTGTCCAAAGTTCTCACTGAGACACCGTGTACCGGTGGAGGAGGTCCATACAGCTACAAAAAGAAAAGATAAGAGACTGTTTCTCTCGATAAAACAAGAAAAGGAAAAGGAAGCACATACCGGGCCGTTGGGCAGTATGAGCTTGTTATAAGTGCCGGCAGGAGCTGTGAATGAATGGAATTGAGTGAAACTAACCCCCACAAAAATCGAGACATGGTGCTCACCTGCAGTGACAGAACTTGTTGGGTGCCGTCGTTCATCCTATCCAAGAGACCCCGCGGCCGGAATCGGCGGGGTCCGTAGATGACCAGAAGAGCGGCAATGACTACCAAGAGGATCAGGCCATCTCTTATATGCCAGCAATGAATCCGATTGAATGGTCTGCGGGAAGTCAATATATGACGTCGAAGGTCAGCGTCCCACCTCGGACGTGCACGCGTCGAAGGTAGACCGGTGTACTATCTTTGCCCCTGAAGTGCAAGATGATGGGAAGTGCAAGATTTCGATTTTCCGGCCACAATGAACCTCAGATTGCTTAGGAAAAAAAATCGGGCACGACGCTATGTCACCCGAGGTGGGATCTATAAGGTCAGACAAGCCATGGATGATGATTTCAGGCCACACAAAAATCGATACTGGCTTGCACTTCCGTGTTAAATCCTCAATCAAAATTAGACCTTCCTCGGCATCTTCACTACGCTGGCTCAAAAGCCACTTCGGATTCAGCATTTTCAGATGTTAAGAATACTCTTTCTAAAAGCCGAGGGTGCAATTGTATGGTCGTTTGTCCGAAAAAATCCCAAGGAGAGCTCGTGGCGTAGGTCGGAATAACCCAGAAGAAACTCCCCCCAGAAGTGATCATCCATTGCGAGCTCACAGAACCTCCGCATGAACGATGGAAAATCAAGGCCAGCGCGTAGACACAGAAATCACAACGGGCGACGCGAAAATGCGATCAAAAGAGGTGAAACGGCACAATCAAAGTGTCAAAAGGCTGATGCGGATCATCAAACCATGCCAGCGGCAAGCTTCGCTTCTTTTCGACGTCATCTGGATGCACCATTGCCTACGGATCCAGGAAATCGTGGGCCTCTGGTGTTCTCATCTCGAGGAATCCTCGACGATTTCCCTGCGAGCGTACTCAACGATCGTAGGAAAATCATGGAAACGACCCGCGCTGAAGGACCTAGCTGTCGTAGCAAGGACATGTAGGGCTTTTCACGGCCCTGCTCTCGATGCTCTTTGGAGGTCCTCGGCGCTCGTGAACCTCCTCCGCTGCATGCCCTCCGATTTATACCATTGCGAAGAATCAGGCCCGGAGTGGAACGTGAAATGTGACATGGTAAGTCCTCCGGTCTAGGATCGTCTGTCGGTGGTTCACGGAAAAGTAGAAGCTTCTTCGACCTATTGAAGTCGAGGACTGGGACAGAGTGCTCATATACGCACCCCGCATCCATCATCTCTTCTCCAACTCTAATGACTGCGACTTGTCAAAGGTTTTGCCGGCCATCAGTGCCTGGCTCCCCCCTCGGCTTTTCCCCAATCTTCAGCGTCTTCATTGGGGACATTCCGACAATGACTTCCGCTACATCCATCTTTTCCTTGGTCTTGGAATCACGGAACTATCTTTCACCGCATCCTGCGCCCCTGCAATTTCCTTCCTCACCACCGCTGCCCCGAGTTATTCCGCACTGAAGACCATTGCGATCCGATCCAATCGCAGTGCGGTATCGGTCGCCGAAACAAAAGCCGTCTCCGTATTCCTGCGCAGCTTGACGTGTGTCGGGACTCTATCCGTCGATAGCATAGACGAAGCGGGACTGAAGCATATCTGCGGGTTGCCAACCGTCACAGTCTTGCGTTTGGGCACACTTCCGACGCTTTCGACATTCAATGCTGGCCCTGACATCCGAGCTTTAGCTGATCTGCGGAGATTGTATCTTGCCTATGCGGAGATAGGCGTCACCACTCGTTTTCTTGGGTGGTGCAAAGAAATGCCACTGATATCGCTCGACCTCGAATTCACAACTTTTTTGACGGGGCAAGAAACGCACAACCTCTTCGATGCTCTTTCCGCGAGTGTTTTGCACTCATCTTTAACAGAGATCAGCGTGATCAACGAGTACGAGGATAGGAATCCGGCGCACGACCCAAATCATATTGTGCACAGCCAATCAGTCCGACCCTTGTTCAGTTTCAGCAACCTGACGTCGGTACTCATCCTAACCGCCGTCGGTATCGACCTTGACAACGCCACTGTATCCACTTTGGCGCGTGCATGGCCGCGGCTCGAGTGTCTGGAACTGTCCTCTTACTACCAATATTCTCCCGCTGGGCGACCTCGTGCTACGCTCGAGTGTCTTCGTTCTTTTGCCGCATGGTGTCCCCGCCTCGCCAAGCTGTCCATGACACTCGATGGCACGGCGATACCATCCCTAGAGTCCGGTTCCAGCCGAGTTCTTCACTCGGTCTTGGGGTGTCTGCATGTCGAGCATTCTCCGATTTCGACACCGCTCTCCGTCGCCCGCTTCCTCTCCGGGATTTTCACGGCCCTAAAAGATATCAGGTCGAGTGCAGAAGACAACGAGAGCGAGTTCGAAGATGAACTCACCGAGCAGAGCGCAGCCATTCGCTATGACCGTTGGAAAGAGGTGGAATCACTGCTTCCGGAACTGTTGGCAATCCGCGAGGAGGAGAGAATTTGGGCGCAGAATAATTCAAGCTTGTCATTCCAGCATCCTCAGAGGTTTCCGGTTGAAACAAAATAATAATAATACAATAGTTGGTAGCAGGCGCGGGATGTGTTGAGTTTAACAATTGACGATCACTCCCTGCTAGAGCAGCGTCCTATTCACAAGGTATATATATCCCCGGAAATAATCCTTAGAAGGATGGAATACAGTTTCTTCCGATTTGTTTTCCTGAAGATACTCAGGGATGAAATGACACGATATTTCTCCTTTGTTCTTCCAGCCAGTAAAATTTGAACCACATCACATTTTCTAGGTTAAGTACTTTGAAGATCAGTGTAAACCGACTCACACTCCATGGATCTGTATTGTTACAATTGTCTTGGCTACTAAACCTCGTCCAAATTTTTCCGTAGCTCAAAGCACTGCGGGGATTGAAAAATTTTACCCCAGGAAATTGGGCCTAGAACTATGATGTTCCTTTCCTGGACAAAATTTTACCTACAGAATTTTGATGGTATGATCTAGCCTGTTTCCTGTGAGATTTCGACAAGAAATATGCAAAGTCTTTGTCACAACAAAGCTGCCAGAAACAGCCCAACTTTTGCCGCAGTTTTTCCAAAGGACAAAGACAGAATTTTGACGTGGGAAAAATTGCGAACAATGGGCACTTCTTTGTTTTCCGAGGGAAAACAGTTTCCCCCCGGAAAAAGATAGGCTTTGTCCGATGGAAAATTCGCCGGAACAATCAATCTTTTACATTCGAGTTTTTCTTGGGTAAGATATCATAGGTTACTGAAGGAAGCTATGGATGGAAAAGCTGAGATTTTTCCATCAATTTCCCCACGGAAAAAGTTTGGCCCGGAAATTGAACATCATAGTTCTAGGCCATTTTTCCTCAGGTAAAATTTTTCGATTGCCGCAGTGAAGTCGGCAGCCTAAAGAGGAATATTAATTTCAGGCGGCGGCAGCAGATTGACACTTCAAGAAAACGCCTCGCATGCAATCGTTCCAGCGGAGGGATAGTCGTGGGTTTCGGGTGGAAGATTGAATAAATTTCGACACAATGTATTGCCAGGGGCCAGAACTGACGATGATTTCGAGGGCATCCGAGAGTGCGTTCTTAGCCTGTAGCTGGTATTGACGGGAAACTATTGCGGTCGGATAGTAAAGGACCCGGCCAACTGGAGAGTATAGTCTGATATTCGTCATCGAGGCAGTTGAAGTGGTTGTGCGGAAGCTTCAAGTTGTCGGGCAGAACGAGGCCTGGAAGCTCTGAGAGTGATGGTTGGGCAGGTGGTTGGGACTCGGAGTATATCTTCAAGGATTTTGGCGATCACCAGATAAACAAGGCCCTCAGGACAGTTCAAGAGTAAGAAAAGCGCGCATATAGGTACATGTCGCGTCGCAGATGATAGTTGCGTATTTTTCGCAGATGACGGCAAGAACAGAAGGCGTGTTGCTTGCTCTTATTGTACACGGCAAGCGATGGTCTTATATAAGCAAATCAAGCCCACAGCTTTGCGTTCCTCTCTCTCGACCAATTCTTGACACTCAAGGCCATCCTTAGCACCAGCTCAACGTGGCTAGATTACTGTGTCTCACCTGGTAGCTCTGAGACTGGGAGCCACCGGCTCTCCTCAAACTGTTTCACATTTCCGTCCACGCCGCAAAGCAACCGCAAAGAGTCCACTACTCACTGGACCTCGAATTCCTTTCCTTACACGGTGACGCCGAGCTGCACTTGTGCAATTAATCCTCCGCTGCCTGGCTGGTCTGCGCGTCAGAATCAAAGTAAATGGGGAAGAAGAACAAGAAGAAAAATGTGATCGCTCTTTCGAATTCCGGGTCCAGGAAGGCTTCAGCGGACAGCTTGCCAGGTCCATCATGATAAGGATATTCGAGATGGGTTTTATATGCTATGGACCCAGTGGTGAAGTGGTATCGCATCTGCTCGACTTTTAGGAAACATGAGTTCAGTTTCTGCGGAAGACACCCGTTCGATTCGGGTCTGGGTCATCCCTTTTTACTCTCGCTTTTTCCAACGCTCGGTCGGGATTATTCGAGCTGGGATCTCTAGGTGCACGGGAAAGCGAAATCTGCTCTGTTGGGTTTATATCAATCTACCGCGAATTGTATCGTGCCATGTACCGTGATGCTGCTCGTCGTGTCCCCGCCGGATGGTTGCTACTCAAACTAGTACTCAGCTTCAGTAGTAATGTGGACCCAGTGGCGAAGTGGTATCGCGCCCGCTTAGTGTGTTTTGTGTCAAGACAACAATATTCTGCGGAGGACGCCCGTTCGATTCGGGTCTGGGTCATGTCTCGGTACCGAATATTTTCATAAGTGCCCTCATTTTTCTCTCACAATTCAATTCGGCATCAACCAAGCTAAGTAGAAGCAATTCAGAAATCCGACAAGGCGCAGAGGCGAGCGCTCAGGGGTGCTTATACGACATTTTTTTTTTTTGGTGGGGCAGAGCTCACAGACTTGCATCGACCGCATGTGATGTTGGACTTTCGGATGCCCCGCCATGGATCCTATTCGAGCTGGGATATTTGGATACACGGACCCAGCGGCGAAGTGGTCTCGCATCCGCTCAGCCTTCGATTGTGGCGAACATGTTTCTGCGGAAGACGCCCGTTCGATTCGGGTCTGGGTCATAAGAAGTTGGTTATACACTTTTTTTCCCCCGTTTTATAAGTTGCCTCATTTTTCTCACAATTTGGTATCACAGCGCAAGACGCTAAGCTCAGAGGAGAGCATCGTAATTAAGAGCCCAAGCCAGCTGTTTGAGTCAAACAAATTCGAATATGTCCGAGTCCAGGCTGGAGCTGCGCTCTTGAATGTTAGATCGGAAGCTCAGGAATCCGAACATGCACAAAGGCCAATGAACGTTCAGTGTGAGTTACTTATCGACAAGCCGAGGGGTAGAAAACGGTTTCATTTCCTACTACAGCGCGAAGAAAATCAGAAGGCAAAGGTTCGACAGGCTGTTTGCATGTTTACATTCAACAGACCAACCTAGGGGCTCGTCTAAGAAGCGGGGAGTGGGAGAGAAAGGAGGGAGGTATGAATGAAGGGATGGGGGGACGAGGAGGGAGGCAGGGGGAGGCAGCGCGCATCGCGCGCGGCGCGAGAGAAGGGAAGGGAAGGGAAGGCAGTGCTCGCTGCGAGCGAAGCCGCGCTCGACTCGGGCCGACGACGAAAGGGTGGGGCGCTTCACTCCACTCCTACAGTCCCCGCTTCGATCAACAGACCTGGACGGGAGCGACGAGGCAGTCTTGCGCTGCGCACGGACGAAAACGAGGTGGAGCGGGGTCCACCGAATACGAACGTGGAACAGCTGCAGCGAATACGGATACGACGTGGATTGGGCTCGAACGAATACCAACACGAGGTGGAAGGGAAGAAGGGAGGGGAGGGACGGACGGACGGGAAGGAGGCGATGGAGCGTGCGCAAGAGGAGGAGAGGAAAGCGGGAAAGCCCGAGACCAAAGGCGTCGTCCGGTGCCGGCGATGTGATCGTGCAGCCCGATGGCGGCGATGCGCTGTGAGGCCCGACGCCGGCGACATGCTGCGCTGTCCCGCGCCCGCGGCGTGTTGCGCTGTCCCTGCGCGCGTCCATCGTCCTCTGCGTGGTCCGCCGTGCCCAAGCGGCACCATGCAACATCCAGGCGGGCCAGTGCGCGTCCCGTTCGGGTGAACGCGTTCGCGTTCCGTCCTCCCTACCAGGGACGGGAGTACATCCGCTCTACGAGGGACAGGCGCAGCGCATAAGTATCACGATGGCGTGTTCGCGCGGCGGAGGGCGGGGGTGCACGAAACGGACCAAAACGCAGTACGCGGTACACACAGTGCGAGCACTAGGGGCCTGGAGAAAATGCCGCGCGTGCCGCGCACTGCCGCGGCACTGAGGCGGCACTGCTGCGGCATTGCCTAAGTCCAACTAAGCCTAACTAAGCTACGTCGGGATACCTCAAAGTGCAGTTCTATGGTATATTCAAAGACTTATGAGCAGTGTACATTGTTTTAAAGCTTAAATACGATGTCGGGGGCGGGAATTTTTGGTAAACGTAGGGCAGAAGTCAGGTCCTCTCGGGGTAGCTTCCGCAATACTGTATAGTTTCGATCAATTCTCCCCGCCTGTGACCTGTGACCCACAGATTCGAACTTGAGTATTCGTAAATCCGCCAGAGCGCCCGTGACAGCCCAAAAATGTTCGTAAATGTGGTGGAAAGGTCGCAGGGCATGGGCCTAATGCACTGCTGGGCCTCCGTGGTCACATCGCTCAGTTGCATTGTGGATGTTCAAACTGCTTCCTCCATTTTCTTTTGTTGTATTTTTGGCATTGCGAAATATTCCATGGCCCGCAAAGTAAACAGCCTTCGCGAAAGGTACTATTTCTGCTACGGGCTTTATTTCCCCAAATCTGACCTACTTGCCAAGCACATTGCCGAATCAAAGCGGTGCATCATCAGAAAGTTACTTACATGACCTTTTTTCTGTGCATTCGCCCTCGATCCCGCCGCTTTCTTCGCAATGAATGGCCTTCCCAACATGATCAAAATCTCGGATGGGCCAGAAAAGCTCTCGCTACCCCCCCACGACCTCCCGGTCTCCAGCCTTGTCAACTTTCAGTACTTTCAGTTGCCGCCACAGTGCAAATTCACCGGATCACGTCAAACGTGAGAGCGCCACGCCGGCGAAAAACAGGGTTTTTTGGTGGTCTCTGGGCGATTTCGTGACTCTTTTCGCATTTTGAATATGCCCTCGGTGACCTGTGACAGATACGAATAATTTCTTAAATTTTGGGGCCTGTGACCCGTGACATACGAATTGATCGAAACTATACAGTAGTTGGGGAGAGATAATGCAATACTGAAACGAGTGTTAGGATTACTTCAGAAGGGCAAATTGAACTGTTTAACCCAAAGGTCAATGCGCGGCAGTAGCCCGTCAATGCGCCGCAATGCCGCGCCAGTTGCGCGTCAGTGCGCGGCACTGCCGCGGCAGCACAGCCACCGGGTAAAGTGACGCGGCAGAGTGCCGCGCAGCCTTTTTCTCCTTTCATACAGCTTTTCATACGCCCAGAGTATTGTTTGGACCCCAAATACATGAACTCCAGGGCCATGTTGAAGAGAGAAGTGGGCCGTGGCAAATCACGTTAAATCAAGTCATAAGCGGGTTTCCTCTGTTCTAGGTTATGAATTCTGCAGTCATTTCACTGCCTGTATGCTACTGATACTTACTGATTGCACCGGGAAACCTCGTCGCGAAATCGTCCCGAGACATCGGCTGTGAATGGGACATATAACTTGGAAGTGAGTCTGCTTCTCCAGGGCACGATCATGGTTCCTGGCCTCACCTTAAAGTTGCTGAAGCCTAATTCTATCTCACAGCAAGAACTTCTCCATTTCTTTTTGTCTAGAATATAAACATCCAGCCAGCCTTCAAATGTCCCCGCACTACTGCGGCATTAGGTTTCGACAATTGCACAGACGGACTCTGAGAGCGAGCGGTAGGGGGATGGTTTTCTGGGTCTCAATGACCAAGAAAGGGCGATGGGATTTTGGACTCAACAAGTATATCGATAATTTAAGATCCTCTTCGAAGGAGTGGTGGTGCATGGGAGTTAACTTCTCAGTCCCCGCCAATCAACTCAACTCCTCATGCCGCGGCAATAGCATAGCCGTTGCCACATCACACTTGAAAGCCATCCATCGCAGAAAATAACCCGGTATACAAGCTGTCACAGTGACCGCAGACATTTTACATTGATAAGGAATGCATGCTTGAACTGAGGGTCGGGCAGAACATGATAGTTGCATAAACTGTGGTCTTATTCACCTAACGAATGCTAGGAGAGGATCAAGCAACAAAGGCCCGACATGGTATATGTATATACATCGACGGAAGGATGGATGGAGGAGTGGCTAAGCAGAAGCGAGGCAGGCACTCAAGCAAGATTAATAATTTTGCGATTGGAGTGAACGGACCCTGCGGGAGGATTTGTTGGACTTGAATTAAGTTCGATAAACCTCTCTGGACCTTGATGGTATAGAAGTGCAGAAGGGATCTGAAGCTGCATAGTAATTTACCTCCATGCACTGGGCTGAACTCTTGAAATTTTCAACAAATAACTTCCAGTTTCAAACGATGCTGGACCCGAGAAACCCTGGTTCAACTTCACTTGGTGCGGGCAGAGGTTTGTGTAAATTGGGTGCCCTGCAATGCCATTGCACTCGCACAACCACCCCCGCCTCACAGCACGTCAGAGCAGTCACTAGGCCCTTGATTTGAGGCAGGAATACTGCTGGAGCACGAAGCAATGTAGTCCAGGGCTGCCTGGGTATGTATGGTCTGACAAAAATTAAAACTAAAACTTGAACACATGTTCAACCTCCTTGATTCTGGATACTTTCACCAAGATGAACACACCTCGGCCAGGCAACCTAAGCTAAAAAAACAGCTGGTTATAGTTCAGGGTGAGTTATAGGAGTACAATCACGCTGCACAGTTCCAAAGTAACCAGGCAAAATATAGCTCGAAGGTTCAACTTTACAAGAAAATTTGTAATTAACAGCATTAGAGAGGTTGCGCAAAGCCGAATGCGGCTTTTTTGGTGCGCAAACTCACCGCATGCGGCTTTTTTTTTTCTTTGCTCTGGTGGTCAAAAGAGGCTATTTGAGAGTCCCAGTGATGCTCCGCAGAAAAAAAGGATATTGCCGCGTGCGGCTTTGAAAGCCGCATGCGGCCTTTGCGCAACCTCTCTATTGTTCCTCATACCACAGTCTAACTAGTACAGTGAAGAATCAGCATGAGGAGGACCATTAGAACGAACATGCGGGTGGGGCAAAATCTGGCGAAATGTGAGACTCGGGTGAGTTCACAGCTGGATTTCGTAGATGAAATATCCGGCGGGTCTGCAGCGAGCTAATGTGGTTAAGACCCCGTCGAGCGGTCCAACTAAGACTAACGAAGAGTCACTAGGGGCCGAATATTCGTACCCCACGTTGTAACTCTCCTAACCAGAGCGAATATTCAGTCTGGTCTAGTGATAGTAGGTCGACTATTGACCAGTTTATTTGACTGCAGACACTATTCTTATAGCACAATGTACCTCATACAATGAGAAGCATATGTGATATACATCAGAGAGCCTCTGCAAGGAACTGGTGGGCCAGGTGGAAGAAATACTGTGGCAACTGGTTTACCTGTCGCACCCATCACTCACTGCTCCCCAGAGTTCCACCTCAAGTTGGATCCGTTTCCGGTCCCCCGAGATGAATCATATAGGACCTAGGAGATCTAAGCGAACATGAGTCGTCGTTTGGAAAGAAGCATATAGGGAATTCGGTGGTGTGTAGCAATATACCTGGTGGCTTGAGCCCAAGTCACCAAATTTTCAACCAGGCATATTTGGCTCCAATCGATGTATTTACACTCAAAAAGACGTCCTGAACTTCATTTAGCATAAGCGGAGATTTGTGGAAGAAGTTATTGAGTGCCCACAATGGCGCGGCACTTTCACCCAGCCCCATTGCACCTTGCTGTATTTTTCGATGGAGGTGTCCCATCGGTTCGGAGCCCAAATAAACTAATATACGTGGCGGACCGGGATCATGGAACTACAAACCCTTTTCTTGCACTGTCAGATTATGACTGGTTCCTCAAGTGCTCAACTTGTTGAATATAAGATCCTATTCTGTCTCAAACCTCAGTGGACCTTGAATATGAAAATGTAACAATGTTGTTCCATACAGTTCAAAGTGGGAGGTATGTAAAGTGCAATTCTGATTGTACATTTCCAGGTCTCACGCGACACATACATTGCCTTCTTGGGTCTGCAACGATTTTATTTCCGCTCCTAGTTATCTTAGTCTGTCGATTCTTTCCAAGTTGTATTCACAAATAAAGGCTCAATAATTCGAGCAATATGTCTGGGACTTCGCTTCCAAACAATGTATTAAACCAAGCAGGTTGCTCGAATCTGCTCGAATTCGATCTCGTTTGAGAGGGCATACAGTAACAAATTACTGGTTGTGCGGCAACATCGCGGCAATTTCACGTCAAGTTGGGTTAATCTCCTAGCGGCAACTATCTGACTATTTTTGGAATATTAGTCTTTGCCTTTTATCAGAGGAATGTTATTGCGGAGGCCAGACACATGCAATACAGCCTGTTGTGGTCGAAATGATACATACTGAACTTGTACAGTGTCTGTACTCACTGCCTTCTGGGAGCATTAGACCTGGATGGCATCGTGACAAGTTCCCGGTGGTGCACGGCAGGTTACGTGCACGGTGTGAGTGACTGAAAGTCAGCAAATATTCAACAAACCATTTGTGCATCTAGGCAATGTATTGCACTTATTAAACCCCGCCCCACACTTGACTTGAAGCGTAACGAGGGTTGTGTAAGGGAGAAATGGTTGCACGGCAGTTTCTTCTCCGGCTGCGAGAAAAGCATTGCTCCTGCACCTCAATGCGCACAGTTTAATCCCATCATGGTAAGTTCAACCTTGGTAATTTCCGGCTTAGCTATACCTGAATGTCAAGAAAGCCATGGCAAACACTAGCGGTGCAATCGAACTCAATCCCTCCTGCGAACTCCATTTGTAGTAATTTACCTGCATGGATTAGGCTGAATTCTCAACATTTCCAACCAAGCATTTTTGCTTCCAAATGATGCATCGGACGCAAGAAACCCTTACTGAACTCGATTTGGGGGTGGAGGAGGTCTGTGGAACGAGTTATTCGGTGCCCCGCAATGCCGCGGCAATAGCACAGCCACCGCCGCCTCACTGCGCGTCAGTGCACTTCACTGCTGCCGTATGCGGGGCGCTTCATTGGAGGCATGGATTATGATGTAGAGTGAACTACTTAAGTTATGGGGTGCCTGGGTATGCTGCAACACCACATCTGGTTGATTTACGGTGGGAGAATCAAGCTGCATAGTCCAAACCGGGAGGAACGTTGCTTGCGGGGTCGGCTTTGGATTGGCATCGTTGTTCGCTTCTTTTGCGCGGTCCGGCGGGTGGAGACTTGAGATAGAGATGCAGAATCAAATTGTGAAGCACTGGAAGACCTGGCGGGTGCAGGCCACTGACACTACAACTTATCTCCATACGCTGGCACTCAGGGCCGAATTGTTGAAGTTTCAGGTGGAAGTCGGTGAATTTTCTAAGCAGGGGGTAGGCTACTTCACTGGAGACCCGATTTATTGCAACTGAGGCACACTGATATGGTGGGATGATAGACATAGCGGTGTGAATGCGGGCGACTGGTTAGTTGGGCATGAGTATGTAGAGAAATGTAACTACCACGATTGTCGGATGGTTCAATTAACTGTAGTGGATGATGTGATTCAGTCAACCTAAACGATGTATAGAATTTGGAAAATCTCCTGAGACCTTGGAAAGCACTATTGAGGGAAATAGATTGTGTATAGCGATGCACTCGCGTGGATTACAAAAGTCAAGTGTGGATTAAGCTTAAGTCACAAATTTTCATGGGGGTATTTTTGGTCGCAAATGGTGTAATTGGCTTCATAAACACCTCCACAACTCGATTTGGTGCACGGGGAGCGTTGTGGAACTAGTTATAGGCCGCCCCGCACTGCCGCGGCAATAGCACAGCCACCGCCGCCTCACCGCCGCCTCAACGCGCCTCAGTGCGCGGCAGTGCCGCGGCAAGCGCGGCACTTTCACCCAGCCCGAGCACTAGCAGTGCCTGTACCAGAACCCCCAGTGCGAAGAAAAGAAGCAAAGCCGAGCGCCCGCACAGCGAGGGCGCCAAGTGAGGAAGCAAAGGAAGGAAGGAAGGAAGGGCCCGGGCGGTACGCAAAGAAGAAGGAAAGGCAAGGACGGACGCAGGTATCGGCTCACGCACCAGTCCAAGCTCGTCACTTTCGAATTTCGGTGAACGCGATCCGAGCTCGCGTTCGCCTCCCCGCCCTCGTCGTCATCCGATGCAGATGCATGCCGACGGCGCCGTGAGATCCGGAAGGGAGGGCGCACGAAACTGTCCGGATTAGCCCTTTGCTGCTGTCAGTGCCCAGGGAGACGGGGGTATTCCCTTGGCCCGCTTGATGACCGCGCCAGACGCAGAGGGAGAAATTGGCCGCTTTGGACATGTTGCGAGGAGAAGGAGGGAGATGATAAATAGAGGCAAATCCGAAACACAGCTTTCTTCTACGCTCGGCGGACACCAACTGGGCGTACTGCTCCAGCTCGACTGCTACAGCAAGATTGGAAACCTCCCTACTAGTACAACTCGCCTCAAACAATGTCTGGCTCTCCGCCGTATTCATCAACATCTCAAGCCCCTTCGAGTCGAAACACCTTCATGGCTGCTTTTCGTTTTACCCCGCACTGCCAGTGGAACGTTTTCGATACTACTAGTCGTCTTGGGACACCTAATAGCACAGATCCAGAGGTGAAGTGGCTGTTCGATTCGAGCCTGGGTCATACACTTGACTTGTTCAAGACTTTTTTTTCCTCTTCCCTTTTTCTTACTACCTTGGGCGGCTCACACCTTCGATGGCAGGCTGTCTCTTTTTTCCGTTTTTGAGGATCCTCTCAGGCTGCCGTTAAAATCCTAACACATTTTTTGGACGACCCAGCGGAGCAGTTACAGAACCATGTGCTGTGATGCCCTGGCTGGATGCTTGCCACGGATGCTGGTTATTGGAGCTGGCATCCCTTGAGGCATGGGCTCAGTGGCGAAGTGGTATCGCATCCATGCAGCTTTTGATATCCTTCAAGCTTTCAGCGGAAGGCACCCGTTCGATCCGGGTCTGGGCCATGCTTGAGTTTTCAAGATTTTCTTTCCCCTTCACTTTTTTCTTGCCCTTTGTCGGGCCCCCACCTCCCTTTCTTCCGCTCTCAGATCGGATATATGTACACCCTCCCTGATCTGCGGGAAAGAGACATTATCACCAGTGAGGTAATTTCCTGTTTAGTTGGTTTGCTTTTTGTGGCACATTTGGCTCATTGCTCTCTCTTCAGGCTTGCATTCTTGGAGGCCAGGGACCTAGTAGCGAAGTGGCATCGCATCCGCTCAGCTTCCCAATGAAGGTTTCGAGTCTCCGCGGAAGACACCCGTTCGATTCGGGTCTGGGTCGTAGATTGAAGTAACTTTTCTCTTTTTTTCTTTTCTTTTTCTCACCTTTCGTCGGGCTCATACCTTCAAGCCCTCTCTTCCCCTCTCACTCTCACATCGGATATACCCTCTCCCAGATCGATCTGCGGGAACGCGAAATCTGCTCTGTCGGGTTTTCGTTAATTACCGTGATGCTCGTCGTCACGGTGTGTCCGCACTGCACGGTTGCTGTTCAAACTAGTATTCAGTTTTCATAGCAGTGCAGACCAGTGGCGAAGTGGCATCGCATCCGCTCCCTTTTTGTAAGGCGAGAATGTTTGGTTTCTGTGGAAGACATCCCGTTCGATTCGGATCTGGGTGATAAACCTGCAGAAATCATTTTTTCGCACCTAGTCCGTTGGATTTTGTTGTACACAGCTGCTCACGGCTCTCATCCTCTATTCCAACTAGGATTTAGCTACTGTTCAACATGGACCCAGTGGCGAAATGGTATCGCATCCGCGTAACTTACATTCGGTAGTACCACGTTTCCGCGGAAGGCACCCGTTCGATTCGGGTCTGGGTCGTGTGCTTGAATCCGAATCTTTTTTCCCTCTTTCCTTTTTCTTAACTTTGGTCGACTCACACTTTCGATGGCAGGCTGTCTTGCTTTTTCGAGGATCGTTTGCCATCCCTTTTTTATAACGTGAAAATTGTTCCGTCGTGCTAATGCATTTTTAGAGGGGTGCGAGACTGCGTGCCGTGGGCCCGTGATGTTGAACTACCAGATGCCGTGGCTACGGATGCTATTCGAGCTGGGGTATTTGGGTACATGGACTCAGTGGTGAAGCGGCATCGTATCCGCTCCCTGTTCGTAAGGCGAGAATGTTTCGTTTCTCTGGAAGACACCCGTTCGATTCGGGGCTGGGTCATGGATGGGATGAGGGTTTTTCAATTTCCCCCCAGCTTCGTGAAAGCCACTCAGAAATGCGAACGGTATTCAAGCTAGCATTCCAATGTAGGGCACTGACCCATAAGGCACAGTATGAAGCGCCTTCAACTCTGACAGCATCGGGAATATGGGATTCCGTTTTCAGGCCTTATTTGAAATCCCTCTCTCCGACCTTGCTCCAACCTCTCCCTCCGAGACTTCCAACCTTGCAGCCCTTGCTTACTTGAGCTTGAACTGGGCATTCCGCTACTGCGGAATAGGACCTCCTCAGTCAGTGCCAACGCTGGCATACTCAGGACGCCCTCCAAGTGCCCGCTCGATTTGCACCCGACCGGCTGCCTCCGGCTAGCCGGCTACAGTCCTCTGCAGTGTCGCCGAAGTTTGTTATGGGCCTTATGGCATTAACAGCTGCTGACGGTTGAGGACGCTTGGAGATATTCCATAATGTCAGTAGGTCATATACGTACGACCTCGCGCGCGTGAATCTTTATGTGTACAAACGAACCGGTACCGTCATATACGCGGCCAGAGATGGTCTTTACAGTATATATGCAAATCCCACACAGCTTTGCGTTTTGTCTGTGTTCCTCTCTCGACCGTGACCAATTCTCGACACCAGCTCAACGTGGCTCTATCCCTGTGGCTCAATTGATACGGCACGTAGACTGGGAGCTTGCTTACACCTCTCAAACTATCTCCGTCGATATTCATCAAGTTTCATCACGCCTCGCTGCAAAGAACCACTGGCCCTGGGGCTGTTCAAAATTCAACAGGGCGACTCGGAGGCAGCTATTTTTTCGGGTAGAAAGCCCGCTTCCTTAACGCCGAATACCTCCGCAGGCTGTTGTCTCTGAGTGTCAAATTCCTTCTGATGCCGAGCCGCACCTGTCCAATTAATCCTCCGCTGCCTGGCTGGTCTGTCTATTGTCGGAATCAAAGTGAACAGGAAATAAGAAGAAGAAGAAGAAGAAGAAGAAGAAAACTTTCGAATTCTGGGTCCAAGAATGCTCCAGGCGGGCAGGTTTGCAAATTCTTTGTTCGTAATGATATTCACGCGGGGCTTCCTATAGCTAGTGGCATGGAAGTTAAAGCAGAAGTTGTGCAGCACCGAATTTTAATTTGTTATAAACTCACCACACAACGGGTTTCCCGGGCATCTTTTGCCCTGCATTTATGCGAGTACGATCCAGATGTCGCCAATGTTGAATTGAAGTGACCTAGAAATGAGCAGAAGTTCAGTGGTGGGCCTTGTCCTTTTAACCGCATATCGAATTCACATTTGAGGCATACACGAATTTCTGTATTTAGATAAATAATTAACTCATACTTCAATCAAGACCGTTAAACAAGGCGCCAGCGAAAGCCAAAACTACTGAGTCTATCCAACTCAAACCATCAAAACAAGTTCATTGTCCTTATCCTTCTCTCCTCCTTCAACTTCCATCTCGCCAGCCTGTGTTCCTTGGTAAGTTTCCTCTGGCATGACTGGCATAGGTGCATTGAGCTGTGCAAGACGGGTCAAACTGTCCGTGGCTTCCTCCAGTGCAGTGTTGGCGATTGTGGTAAGCCTTTCATCAATCTGGGTAATTTGTTTCGCCTGGGATGAGCGTTCAAACAATGGTCTGGCAGTTTTCCAAAGCTCAATTGCCTTCGACACTTCCCCGCGATCCTTTGCCAGATCACCAAGTCGGAGCATGCATTCAGCTCTGCTGCGATGAATATCCATCCATGTGAATCCCCCCAGGGCAACAGTAAACAGGGAAGTTGAAGTGGCACTATCACCCTCAGCTTGGAATACATCTCCAAGGAACTGGAGAGCTCGATGAAGGGCAACTTTGTCCCCCAATTTCTTTGTATATCCCAGATATACCACAGTCCATCTAGCAGCCCATGGAAATCAGACTCAGGCCAGCAACTCACATTAGCGAGGCTCTCCATGCAGAACAGTACACCTTGAGCATCATTTCCCCATGTTGACTTGAAACAGCAGTATGCACTTTGCAATCAGGATTTCTCCCTCTCTGAGATGGAGTTTTCCTAATTCAATATCACAGTATATCGTTGAAGATACTAAATTGCTATATCCATATCTGTGGGCATCGAATAGCGCCATGGCTTTGTCAAGGTTAGACAAGACATCTTGTTTCGATGCACCGATTATGATGTCAAGTTGTGCAATGTTAAGGAGAGACAAGGCATAGTTACGTGGCTCTTGAGCAGCAGCATCTCGAGAAAGTTGCATATAGATATTGCGGGCCTCCACATACTCTGATTTCAGGAGCTGGGCTTCTGCCAGGTCTTGCAATAGAGTTATATATGGAGCTCCAGTAGTTGTACCGCAAAGCTCCAGTAGCTTTTGCACCCTCTGACAGAGAAAGACAGTCTTTTGTATGTCACCACAGCTTTGGTAACATGAGGCTGAAGTGCGGAGGGCCAGTGATTGATAGTGTAAATCTCCTGCTAGCTCAGCAAGTCTGTGTGAAGCTTGGGCATGCAACTGTGCTACAGGGTAATCACCCAGGAACCATTTCAGTTGCCCCAGATGATTCAATACTGCGGCCTCCTGTTGCATGTCTCCATGAAATTTTGCCAAATCAAGTGCCTTGTGCAAATATTTCGAGGCCACAGATAATTTCCTTTCAGGGATGTAGTAAAGTCCCACTTGAAGGTAAAATCTGACTGAAAGTTGATTTGATTGAGACACTCTCAGATTGAAATTATGCAAGGGACTCACATTCAAGGGCCGGGTCATTGATGTTATGGAAGTGAGAGATGGCCTGTGTAATCAACAGATCTGCATTGGTAGAAAGACATAGGCTGTTTGACTCAAACTTCCATGTTATGAGCTGAGCCTTGACTTTTTCATCACAATTCTCAGGAAGAACAGCTTCAATCTGAGCCATTAACATAGGAATCAGGTGATAAAACCCAGGACCCATAGTACGGGTGAAAACCTTCATAGAAAAGGTGCAATCAATGGTTTCTGCCAAGTTCGGATTATCCTGGTTCAACCCTCGTAGCAGCAATTCACCCATATTTCTAACATTCAATGCTAGGTGCTTGACTCTTCCAGCCCCCTGCTGAGTTCTAGGATACTGCTGGTACAGATCCAAAAGCTGATGAAAGTATTTTTGCAGTGGGTGAATTAGAAGTGGAGAAGGAGGATAGAAGCACTGCATGTGTTCTCGGATAGGCACCAGTGACTTCAGTTGCCTCATGTCATCCATATATGCCAGAGAAGTAGCAAGTAGTGTAGTTTTGCATGTCATGACATCCTGGATGGAGAGCTTGCTCTGCACCAGCTCTACATCAGACAGCCCATCTGGCAGAATTGAGAGTAGACACAAGAGATCCTTGGCACCAGTGGTCATGCGGGGGCTTGAAAGTGAAAGTGTAATTGATGTATCCAAATTGGATGTTCTGTCATAGCCGGCCCAAAGTAGGGAAGTTTTTTCTGACTGCCAACGAGCCAAGACAGCAGAGCAGCTTCCTTCAAAGTCCACAGCATGGGCTATGAGATCAACAGCAAGTGGCATGTTATCTGTCAATGAGAGTATTTCATCAACCTCTGTACTGTCATGCAGGTCCTCAGCAATGGCAACAAAAGTGTCTCGAGCAGCAACATCTGACAATGGCTTTAAGGGTGCCAGAAAGGGGCGAGTCCACTGGACTTTGGCTGGCCGTTCTGCACCTCTCATTGTGATCTATCTGGATGTTAGTATATTTGCAAGCTTAAACAAATCTGAAGACTTGCCATGAGTGCAAGATGTGAGACATCAGTGAGTTTGGCCAAAAGCTCTTCCACCTCGCTGCGTGACTCGAGGGGCTCCCATGGAGTTTCCAGATTATCAAGAATGAGCAGGGAAGGCCCATGTGTGGCAAAGTAGTGTATCACTTGTTTCGTAACATCCTTGGCTGATTTAACTCCTATGTGTTCCCCAATGAGGGCTGCCAGTCCAATACTGGTGGTGACAGAATCAACAACTACAAAGAAACACTGCTCATATTTGGATTTGATGTCCGGGTGGTGGAGGGCAGCCTTGGCAAGGGATGTTTTGCCCATTCCACCTGCACCTAAAATGGCTATCCTCGGCTTCTCCTGGTGGAGGATTTCAACAATCTTCTGGAGTTCAATTTGACGGCCATGGAAGATCTTTGGGTTGGCTGGCAACATTGAGATGGAGTTTGAACTTGAGCAGGTTATATTTAGTCCGAATCAACAACCAGAAATGAAAACAGTACCTATTCTGGAATCTGCCGGTCTCATAGATCTATGCAAGAGATGAAAGGCAGCTTTTGGTAAGGATGAGAAACTTCTTTACTGAGGAGGCCCTCTCCGAGGTTGTCCCATCTGAGAGGGTCGAAATCAACTCTAGCACTTCCTTGTGTATCATCTCTGCCTCCTGCTGCATCTGAGTAATGTCACCGAGCACAGTGATGCCAGTCCCAGACTACATGAGGATTAAGTCCCAATGCAATTGGAAGGCAAACAATGTACCTTGAACACATCAAAAGCCTGCTGCAGTCCCGCTCGACATTCAGCGAGCAATGTCTTTGTTTCAGTCTGGCGAAATAACTGCTTGATTTTATTTCCATCCTGTTGTGCCTCAACAAATGCATGAATCTTGTGGAGTGTCCTAATAAACTGTCAATTATACTCATAATAAATAGTATCATACATACTCCGTGAATTTCCCGACATGGTACAAAGTTGTTGGAGGAAGATTCCCCTTAGTTTCAGACTTGATATGGAGATTGACAATAGCACAAAGCAGCTGATAAGCATTTTCCAGGAGTTGAACACATTCTTGCTTATTCTTCTTGACATTCTATGCCATATGAGCATTCACGGTCAACTGTCAAGGATATATCTTACCTGCACTACAGCAATCAAGGAGAGAGTGGTGTTTGAAATAGCCGGCACAAATGGGGTACCAAACACATCACTGAGCTCGTTGAGGAGTGTAATAACTGGGGAAA